ATGCGTGTAATGCATTCTAGCACTGCAGGTGAACTCGCTCTTAATGGGATTAGCTTACCTAAAAGTCAGGACACATCTGTGATTGTAGAGTTTGGTGGGGTTGTCACAGTTAAGAGGATGTTGATGTTTAAAAAAATGCAGATGAAGATGCTACCTGGTGGAAGAGATATTAGGAGCAGCTTAACATGGGCTAAGGAGGGAGTGAGAAGGAATGGAAGTACGTATACGTGGTGTCTTCAAGACTGAGGAGAGTGTCAGGATCTAATCTCAGTAAAGGGAAGCATGTTATTCCCATGCTGATATAAAAAACCTGTCTGCAGTGTTTGCATTTTTGGTGTGTGGTTTGTTTTTTTTTCTTTTTTCTTAAGGACTGCTTGTCTTCCTCCCTGTATCTTTACTAACGGTGCATGTGACAGCAGCAGTGTTCCGTCATGTGTCTGTTACCATTCCTTCATTAATACTTAGCAAACAAACAAACAAACCTTTTATTTTCTGAATGCATGCATGCCTTTGCAAAATAGAGCAGAATGAAAGAGCAGCTTCCTAAATGTGTAAGGTCACAGCGAGAGGGTAGAGGGGCACAGGGGAAGGCTGGGGGAGAGTCTTCTTACAGTGCTATGCTTCTGTTTGTTTGTTTTAGGACTTGGAGATTGAAATGTGTTTGTGTGGGCAAAGCCTGTTTGAAAGCTTGTATAGTTTCTGCCCAAAAGTGAGCTTGAATATTAAAGTAAAAACTTTTAAAGGCACTTAGGAATGTGAAACTGTCTGTGCATGCATATGCCTCTGTAAATATAGGAGCATGGCATTTTTGTCGTAGCTGGTTGATGCAATTCTTATATTTGATTTTGTGTGTTCTAACAGATGAATCCCACAAAACTATTATATTTACCTTGATCCTACAGTTTGAACTGCAATAAACTAATTTGTGACAGTACTGGCAGAAAGCAGTCATGTAAGGGGTGTGGAAGTGACCAGACTTAACTTCAACGTTCAAATGAATGTTTGCAAATGTTTCTTGCCATAGTCACCCAACTCTTCCAGATGTTGCAGCTGGCTTTTAGAAATGCCTGTGAGCAAGCTGAGTTAGTAATATTAATCAAACCTCGTTTACTTTCAGGGCATTCAGTGATTATTGCAGGAGTTTTCTCTGCTGTGAGCAGTTTTGCACAGTGGGCTGGGATGCACGGCTGTGGTGGGTTTTTTTTTCCTCATTTTTATCTTCCTGTGAAATACAGAGCATGGGTTGTTGCTATGCACAGGGTAATGGGGAGGATGGAATATTATAATCAAGATAAAAGGAAGCAATTGTTTCCAGTGCTAGAAATTTTAGCTCGGTACTTGCAGTGACTGGATGTAGAACTGCTGTAGCTTTTTTCCATTGCTCTGGGTGACAGTGAGTGCCATCCCAGGATGGTGAATGGGTGCATCTGGGTGGGTTTTGCTCCTCTCCAGACTGAAGGAATTACCAACCAAAAGAACATGCAGGGAAATGCTCTGGAAGAGTATTGCTGTGGATAGAGGAGTTGAAATAAATGCGAAATGGAACAAGGAGGTAATTTATGGTGGCAGATTTAACAGACATCATTGCATAAAGGAATCACGGAGGTTGCTGCTACCAGGACTTGCGCTTATCAGAGCTTTTTCTAGGAGGATACAGTGATGATTGAGCTGTTTCCAGATGCCTTTCAGTCTTTGGATGCTTCGTTGCTTTTGTACTTATCCCTTCAATGTGAATATGATGTGCACTGTTTTAACTTTTATATCTACTTCAACATTTGCCAGCAAAATGAGCCATTTTCAAGTGTCACACACTGTACTGTGATCATAGAATCTCAGAGTGGCTTAAGGAAGGGACCTTAGAGATCATCCAGTTCCAACCCCTGCCATGGGCTGGCTGCCCTCATCAGCTCAGGCTGCTCAGGGTCTGATCCAACCTGGCCCTGAGCGCTTCTGGGCAGTTGTACCAGCACCTGTCCTGGCTTTGGCCATGTCATATCCTTCAGCTTGGATAAGAAGTCTCCATCCAGACCATCTTCAAGGCTTTAGCACTCAGGGTGGCTCTCACTAGAAGAGTATTGCTTTTAATAATAACGCTTCCAGCTTTCTAGTGGTATTTGCTAATAGAGGTAGTTGTGCAAATTGTTTAAACATCATTTGTGTAAAAATTCCTTGCTTTCAATTCAGTGTACTTCATGACTGACAGTGATTTATCTGAAACTTGGCAACTGCGAGGCAGTGAAGTGATGACACCATCTTGCTTTATCCGACTAATTTTAACCTGCTGGGTCCCATTGGTCTCAGCTAACAGCAGCCCTCAGGAGTGTGTGCACTGCATAAAGCAGGTGCTGGGACATTGCTGGCTTGGATGAGGCAGAGAAGCAGTGAGGGAAGCTAGTGATCTGCTGGGAGAACGTACTGTTTTGAATGAGCATCAGGCAGTTCTCGTGTTTAAGAACATGATTCTCATCAAGTGGATCAGAACAACTTTTATTTCTTAATGCAGAGGGTTTCTTCAGAAAAGCATCATAGCTTTGCCAACACAGAAATGTTGGAAAAAAATAATCTGGTGGGAATGTTTTATACCGTGTTGTCTATGAGCCTTCCTGCAAGCCCTCATTGTCTTCCTTTTTATTTTGAATTTGTGTGCATCGTTTTCTGCACTCTCAGCAATAGACCAAGACAACGTGAGCCCTTACACAGTGATGCTGAGCTGTGTGCCGTGTGTGGACCACGGCAATATAATTGACTGATTTATAAGTAAACAAGCATATCTTTTACTGCCTTGTTTGGTTGTTGGTTGAGGAGCTGGTGCTCTCTGGGTGCTATTGGTGTCCAGGTGAGGCACGGTGCCTGCTTTAGGGATGTGCTTTCTCTGCCATTGCAGTCAGTGTACCTGTGCTCCCAGCTGAAGGGCTGGTCTCTTGCATCCTACAATAAATGCTCATTGCTAAACCACCGCAGATATCCTTGGGCCTCCTGTGACAGCAGTTTGCAAGCAGCGCTCTTTCCTCTTTTTCTGCAGCAGAGGAAGAAAGCTGCTGTCACGAAGACTAATCTCAAGGCGCTGGCTTTTCCTGTACTGAGACCAGCATGTCCTGTATGTTCAGAGAGACCTAAGAATGAAAAAAAAAATACTGAGTACTGTGCATTGCAAGGGACCTGAACAACTACAAATGAGAAGAACGTTTCCCTTTCTTGATTCCCCGCAGTATTTATTTAGGGGTTTGTTTTGTTTTGTTTCTCTTTGCTCTGCATTTTCCCTGAAGTGGCATCACAATCACAGCCAGGGATTCGCTCATCTCTGTTAACAACGTACCGGGGAGTCCTTGCCCTGCACAGGGCTGCTTTGTGCCCGCAGGATGTGAGCACACCAGCTCTGCAGCCGTGTGTCAGCGGTGTGTGAAGGGCCACGGCTGGAGCACAGCCCCGGGGAGGTGGGGATGTTGTTTTTCTGCAGAGAGGCAGCAGCAGGCGGTGCAGGGAGCAGGGGGAGGCCTGGGGTGTGAGGAGAATGTGGGGAGCAGGAAAGAAGAGCAGAAGTCAGTGTGTGAGCAAAGGATGCGCTGAGGCAGCCTTTGGAAGTGTGTGTTTGGTTATTGCATGGGGAGCTGCTCGTGCTCCAGCTGTGCTGGTTGGTACAGTGCATTTGTCAAAACTGACGAGGAAGTCCAAAGCCAACTCCAGGACATAGAGCTTAGAAAACACCTTTGAGCTGCTGGTTTTTGTTACAGCAGTAATTGAGAATGTTGTACAGAAATGTGAACCCTGAATGCTGCTGTGCTGAGCTGAGGTGTGTAACACAGCTTTACAGTTCGTTTCTCTGCATGGTGCTATGATACCATTTTGAATAAGAACATTTCTGACATCCTATAATTGAGTACTTAAAGCAATTTCCAGTTGAAATCAGGGACTTCCAGACTAGTTCAGGAGTATCTTCTGAGATGCTCTAATGTGGAGCACCAGAGCTGTGGGGTTCCTGTCCAGTATCTGGTGCAGCAGTAGGTGAAGTGGAACAGCTGTGGTCACCCCATATGTGCACTAAAGCCACATTGCTTGAGTTTGGGGAGCTCTGCAAGGGTGACGTGAAGAAAAGTCTTCGAGGTAATGAGGTTAAACATTTGTTGGCATTTGTGCTGTGTTCCAGCATCGTCTTCATCCCGGCCAGATTCTCTGGGTCTATCGGAGCAGAACTGTGGGGCCTGTTTGTGCCGCTCGTATCTCTTCATCCCCTGGGTGAACATGAATGCAGTGGTGAAATAGAGAAAATGCAGACTGCCTGTCAGGATGCTGTCTCTGGCCCCGACTCGGGCTGTTGCTCCGTTTACTGGCAGTGTTTGGTCCCACAGAAGCCCTCCTGGCAGAGGCTGCTGGTGTGGCTCGGATACCACAGCAAGTGAGGTGCTCCTGGGACCGTTATCTTCAAGAGCATTTTCTTTTGCCATGATGCTGGCTTGGCCTGGAAGAAGGGAACAGGCCACCAGCAGTCATGGTGTGTCCCGCCTGGAGGGCTGTGGAATGGACCCCATGGAAGGATGCACGGGGAAATGTGCAGATTTTACAAGGCTGAAATTTGGGGTTTTTTGTTTTGTGTGTAACGATGTGACTAAGAGCAGTGGAGGAGAGATCAAGAATAGATGGATTTCAGAGAGGAAGAGTGTGTCGTCATGGTATTCCACTAAAAGAGCTGAATAGGGAATCCTGTTCCATAGGAGATGGTGAATGAACAACTCGGGTGCTGGGAGCTGGTGGGTGACACTGAGGCGTGCAATAGAACCTGCATAGCTAGCTGTGCAAATCCAGGACATTTGGACACGCTGAAAGCTTGCTTTAAATGGTGCATGCAGAGGAGAGAGCAAGGAATTCCACGGGGACGCGGTGCGGGGAGGGGGCAGTGAGCGGGGCCATCCCGCTTGCTTTGGGACGCTGTCACGGTGTGCTGTGAGCGCTGGCGTGTTGCACTGCACGGTTCTCATAACGCTCTCTCTGTGAACCCTTTCTAGCCCACGACCTTCCCCCGAGCAAGACGTCGGCCGCGGCGCAGACTGGCAGCCACTTGCAGTGCCTCTCGGTGCACTGCACGGACGACGTGGGCGAGGCGAAGGGCCGGACTGCGGTGCCGACATGGAGGTCCCTGCACTCGGACATCTCCAACAGATTTGGGACTTTTGTGGCCGCCCTGACTTGAACAAAAGAAATTATTTTTTTTCTCTTTTTAATTTCAAAGGGCCGCTACTGCTAGGTGGACTATTTTTCTAGGTTGGTACCTGCTTAGTGGCATATGGACTGGAAAGGGTTAATTTAAAGTAAACCTCAACTTTTTTTTAATCTTCTGCCACAGTATGTTACCAGTGTTAACCCTTCTGCAGTTAGCACACTTTTGCTTAAGATTTTCCTGCTAGACCACGTTTTCCCATTATTCTGTAATCTTGGCATACATTTATAGATGAAGCCTTTTCCTTTTTCATCTCAGCGTATGTCCAAGTCACGTATGTCATAATAAGACAAAGATGCTACTTCTCCTCCTCCTCCTTTTCTTCATTGCTTTTTTTTTTTTTCTTTTGTTTTGCTTTGCTCGATGCTTATTACGATGGTTAATCCTGAAGAACAGCAGTTCAGGAATAAATGCCGGTTAAATGAAATTGTCATCATTATGTTACGTATTGACACCCAGCTTTTGCCAGTCACATCCAAACCAAACAATTAATGCTCTTTTGAACATTCAGGCAGCGATCCTTTCCTCAGAAAACGAAGGTTTGTTATGAATAATGCTCAGCCTGCGCCTCCCTCCCTCATTTCCTCCCCATCTCTCTGTGAGGTGAGGACAGGGGTTTGTTTGTTTGCCTTTGTGAAACACAGATACGGAGCTCTGTCATGACTGGGCTGGTTCAGGCATGGCCTGGGAAGGTACACAGATGATTCCCTAAATAGCTCTAACAGGAAGTTTACCTAATAACGAATAATTGTTATCTCCTCCACCAAACACCCAGGTTGCAGCAGCATTTTCTTCCTCTGCCTCTCACTTTGAGGAGCAAGGGGTGCACATGTTCCCAGGCATGTTGTGTTCCTGGTGGTGTTCCCAGAGCTGTCATTTTATTTTATAACTGCTGGAGAAAAAAACAATCCCCAAAGGCACTGAGCCCCTTCTGCATTGCTCGTAGCCTGCAGAGCAGTGTCCTGGCCCAGCAACTGTGCTCTGCTATGGGGCTGGGTTACTGCAGTGCCCTCTGCTAGGTTGGGTCTGGGCCCAGCATCCAGCTGGAGTTCCCAAAGCCACTGTGAAGCCGCACGGCAGCACAGCTCCCACTTTTCCCCATTGTAGCTGAAGGAAGATGCTGTTGATCAGAGGTGTGATGCTCTTGTCTGTAGGAACCACCCTAGCTCCAGTGGCAGCAATCCCAGCGTGGTCACAGTAAGTGGATGATTGGAGACAGCCTGCACCAAGGGCCATGTGCCCAAGGTCAGCACTTCCTGATCAGCCAGGACCGGGACACCCCAGGTTAGACCCTTCCAAACTTAGGCTGGGCTCCATTTTTGCCATGCATGTGAAGAACGCTGTTATTAGATGAACACAATAAAAGGAAAACCACGCTTTCCTGGTCTCGGTAGATAATGCTCATTGGAGAAGAAAGCTGGAAGCAAACCAGATAAAAACACAAATGACACGATGATCTGACACTCCTGTGGCTTTACGTAATGCTGTCTATTATTTGCATATCCTCTGTTTACAGGGTGTGTGAGCAGTCCCACCCTTGCTCAGGCCAGCCTGGCTTCCTCTGCTCCCCAAAGCTCAGTAGCATCGCTGGGGAGTTACGTTTTTGCTATGAAATAAGAGTCAGCCTCTCATGAATTCACAAAACGTGTCCCTTCTCGAGGGATGGAATTTGAAGACTGCTTTGTATTTTTAGATGATTGTGCCGGGCCTTTAATTATTTTGAAGTCTGGCTCTCAGTAGACATCAGTGGGGAGGGAATTCTGCCTACAATGCTAATGGCCACAGCACTGTCTGAAATTCTCACTCTTGATCATTTATGGCTTCAGAATGATTCACAGTGTTTTGGAAGGCAGGATTTCTTGTTATTTGAATGTGCTCTTATTAACCATGCATGGATTGATTTCCCACTATGGTTGTGGTCAGTGACTTGACTTTGGGGAAAATGGAGGGTTTGGGGCCTTGATTTGTACTTTACTTTTCATTGAAGCTGGAGCTGTCACTAGGGTGGGGATTTTTGCCTATGCTGAAGCAATTCGCTGGAACCACCTCACACACTTGGTTTGGAAACAAAACATGCCACGTTTTGTACCTTTTTAGGTGTGTGCTACTGAAAGTTTGGAGCTTTTCCCTGGACCTGCAATAAAATGTCTCCAGGTTGAATAACAATTATCGTTGGCCACTCTGGAAGACGTTTCTTTGCCTGTGATTTGTTAAGTCCCAGTTCACTAAAATACATGTTCAACTTTAAATGCAGTCTAGCAAATCACTTAAGGATATGCTGAACTGAGTGGGACTTCTGTATCCAGTGAAGCGTGGAAGAGTGTTTCGGTGGATTAGGGCCTCAGTTCTCATCTTTTCATTTCAGCTTATACTTGTTCAAGCTAGGTGTGTCTTGGAGTAAACCCAGCAAAGCACATGCCTGGACATATGATACTGTCTTTCAGCACTTACAGCTAAAAATTTAGGAAGAGTTCATGGTCTGATGGCATTCCTGTACCATCGCTCAGGCCTGATGGCTTGCTTCTTTGTTTTTAGTTTTTCCTGCTGCATTCAGGAGAACAGGTTTTTCAGGCTTCCTCAGGTCAGGGATGCACACCCTGTGCTACCAGGAAGAGACCTTTCGATGAATGCTGGATCAAACGCTTCAAATCTCTTTTAAAGAGAAATCCTCCCGTAAGTAGAAATGCATTGATTCCATTGGTCTTCAGCATCCTTCCTTTCTGGTTTGCTCTCTGCAGCTCTGCTTCTATCCTGGAGTTGTTCTCATTCCTTGAGGACTTATTTTTCCACTTGGTTATAGGAGTACAAATTGGAAACAAGCCCATAAAAACAGCAGAATTCTGAGGGTTTTAAATCATAAGAGATGAGGAGAGGATGGGGTCTGTGCACTGGGGCCGTTCTGTCAGCTGTGCAGTGGGAGCAGTGGGCAGATAGGATTTGCAGGTAGTGAGGCTTTAGAAAGAGTGGTCAGCCTTCCTGTGGGCCTTACTGTCCGTATTGCTTTACTAAAGAATACAGTTAAGTGCAGTCCTACTGCTGACCTTCTGTACATTCAATCTCGCTAAACTCGAGTGACATTGCCGACTGAGCAAAAGGACGAGGTGGCAGCTCTATACTGGGGCAGATGTCAGCAATGCCAGTGCTGGTGTGCATTTCTATGGTTTTCTTTTTGCCAAAGATCAGAACAAAATCGGTACATAGGCTGGCCAGGACAAGGATAATTTCATGCCCACAGCCTGGTGTGTTTGGTACAGACAGCACGTGCCGGAGCTTTAACACAAAGCTTGCTTTGCCTGTGGTAATTTTACTGTTCTCATTTTCTCCATTAATTTAACACTGAATGCACTCTTTTTTTTTTTTTTTAACATATAGAAAATATCACCATAGCTAAAATAATGGCCTCTTATTTAAGAGGGCTGCTCTGAAAGTAATGCCTCCAGTTTTATGATGTTGGCCTGTGCCATCAGAGGTGGAAGTTGGTACGGCAGCAGAGGTTGGACCTTCCACAAATATCCTGTTAATTCTGCTGCTGTGTGACAGATGGCAGCAGAGGGGCAGGCTGACAAATGACGTCTGACATGGAAGTGCATATGAAGCAAAGCTGTGGAATGGAATTCCTCCATGTGGAAAAAATGGCCCCCACTGACACTCATTGACGCTTGCTGAACGTTTATGGAGACCCAGCAGTGGATATGAGCACAGTGGGCGGTGAGTTTCGGCACAGCAGCAATGGGTCACTCCTGCTGGCAATGAGATGTTGATGAGCGTGGCATGCAGATTCTTGTTCGTCACTGGCAAACATGCACTGCTAATGGTGGTGCCCCTGTCGAAAAAATAGTATCTTGAAGTTGAGAATTTGCTCCATCAGATAGTGCATCTATCTCTTTGTATCTGTTGTAGTATCCATGGGAATAAGTAGGAGGCATTACTTTCAGAGCAGCCTTTGTATTCTGAAAAACCTTTTCTGCTTTGCCCAGCATCTTCATTTCTCACACAGCCCCATGCTGTAGGAGCTGCTTGAGCTGGGAGGTTGGCAGCTGCCCATCATCTGGTTCTTGGCCTTGGAGGCTCCATTTCCTCCTGGCCCCGTCTGCTGGTCCTTCTTGGTGTATGTTAAAAGAAAATCTGTACTTTAACTTAAAGCGTGGTAGCAAACTGAGAAATAGATGTTTTGCATTTTAACTGGGAGGAGTGATGTCTTTTGGCCAAGAAAAAAAGGATGGAATAGGCCCTATTTATGAAATACTCCCGAGAATTTTCTCTGGGTTTTTTTTTCATAGGGTTCATAAGTTCTCTGCTGTTCTGGTTCAGCTGTTAGAGCCTCAGTGAGAGAGGGCCTCGGCTCATTTGTATTTAGTTACAGGGAACTTCATCAAAAAGCTAAGGTGTGTTTGGGTGGGAAGAAATGAGCATTGAAGCCACCAGGTCCGTTTTGAGGACCCTTTCTTGGATACTGCTTTCAGGTGTCGTCAACCTGAGGCTGGTTGGCCCTTCCAGTGCAGGAGATCAGTCCCACAGCTTCCAGGCACCGCCAGCAAGGCCAAATGTTGGCATGTCCCTTAAAGAAGGACATGCCACCCTACAGGTCACATAGGACAGGGCTCCTACAAGTCATGGGAGGCTGAAACGTGTTGCTTTGGCTCTGCTGTTGGGAAGGAGAAAGGAGGTGGGAAGCAGGTGGGGAAAGCAGACAAAAAGCCCCAGAATGGGTACATCTGGAGTATTTTTTTGGAGCTGCAGTGTGAGGTTGTCTCAAATGCTGGATTCACAGCTGTTCGATGGATGGTGTATAAGAGCATAACCCATTTTTATAGGATTGTTTCTCCTTTATTGCTTAAGGCTAATGGAGGAAATAGTCTAATTTTGTCTTAGAAATTCTCTATTAAAATTGTTGGTTTGAGTCCATCCCACTCATAGATTCTGACTGATGAAACTGCAGGCTGTGATTTCCGGCAGTTATAACTTTATCACTATTCACTACCCAAGAATATTACAGCTTTAAAACAGCCTTAAGCAAAAGGATGTGATTTCTTTAAACCGAATTTGGTTCATGGAAAAGAAAAAAATAAATAAATAAAAATCAAAACACTGGTAATCCGTACTGCATAGCAAACTCTTCTGAAAGATGTTATTGCACATGTAAAATATGGAAACTTGACTCTGCTGTGTGTTAGGCAATCCTGTACTCTTTTTTTTCTTCTTCTTTTTTTTGTTTTTGTTTTTGTTTTTGTTTTTGTTTTTGTTTTGGGATTCTTGTTAAATTCATTTCTTAAATGCTTGGTTGGAAGACTGTGACAATAGCTCATGAAACTGAGTGTTATTTTTTCCTTTTTTTTTTAAATATGTAAAGTGCAGTCTTCTGTATTCATGCATATTGTACATATCTGTATATGTTTTACTGAGCAACTAAATAACAATAAATATGATGTTAATGGTGGCTATTGTATATGTCATGCCATGTTCTTTGATTTTTGCAGTAACTCCTGTTTTCCCCTAGAATGTGAAGAATGGAAATGATGCTGTTCACATGTAGGTAAACCCTGGGCCTCGTGATGGTCAGAACAAATCTCAGCAGAATGTGGGAGGTCGTCTCTAACAGTTGGCTTCCCTCAGTGGTACGGCTTCACCCAGAGCCAGGTTACTGCAATAAGGTGTAGTTTTCTTAGAGTCATGGAATGGTTTGGGTTGGAAGGGAACATTAACATCATCCAGTTCCAACCCTGTGCTGTAGGCAGGGACATCTCCCACTCAACCAGGTTGCTCACAGCCTGGCCTTGTACCTCCAGGGAGGGAGCATCCCTTCTCCTAGTGTTTGCTAGGCTTTGCTGACTGTTTCTGCATGTATTGAAGCTTCTTCCTTCCCTGCGTCAGCCGGGATCCGAATCCTTCACAAAACTTCTTCAGGCAAGATTTTGAGCTAAATTCTGCGAGTAAAAAGTAAACAGGCTACAACTGAGTCTAAAAATCCCTCCATCTCTGTTATTCAGATTTCATACTCTTAATCCTTTCACATTCCTGTGAATTTGTCAAAGAATCCTTTCCGTCAGGAAAAATGTCTTACGAGAAAGCAGTAACCTGGGCAGCCAGGCAATGTCAGAATGCATTTCTGAACCGAGGGAACAGCCTTACTTGTCTTTCACACTCAGAGGAAGCAGAAGAGCTGTTCAGCTTCATGTGGTTGTTTCTTCCATTCTAACGTCTCATTCTCTGTGAGCTGAGATGCAGAAAGCTGTGCGGTGCTGCATTTTGGTGTGTGATGGAACGATGAGCCGCCCCATCTCCCGCAGCCCATGTGCAGATCCCGTGCCTTCGCAGCAGCGCTTTACGCTGATGAGGATCTGCTAACTCACATGCAATGCATCAAAATGCAAACAGT